ACACGATAAAAAATTTCTGAACCAGATAATATTTTAGGTGGCAGCCTGAATTCTTCTTTTCCATCAAACCATGCTCTCTTCTTTCTAAATGGATGATTGTATGGAAGAAATCGCCTGTAATCCCTGTACACAGTCTTCTGACTACATGGCAACTGCTGAGAAGATGTGTCATTAGCACACACTGGACAACCACACTTACCCTTTGTTGCTTGGCCAGCAAGATTTGAATAAGCTGGTAAATCATTAATTGTCCACATTAAAACCACTTTCAAATTAAACATGGATTTAGTTAATGAGTCATAGATCTCAACACCTTTTTCCCACAACTCCTTTAAATCTTCAATGAGTGGCTCCAAAAACACATCAATGTCATTCCCTGGTTGCTTTGGTCCTGAGATCAACAATGTCAACATCATATTCTCTTTAAACATGCATTGTAAAGGGTCAAAATTATATACAACTAAATTCACTGGCCAACAACTATGTTTACTGCTAAGGTCACCGAATGGATTAAACCCATCGGCTGCCAGCCCAAGTCTCAAATTTCGAGGATCTGATGCAAAACACGGCCACTTTTTATTTATCATATCCCATGCAAGTGAATCAACTGGATGTCGCATCTTCTTATCTTCACTTTTGTGAGTCGAATGCCACAATATTTGCTCCGCCTTTTCTTTTGATTGAAAAAACCGCCTAAATCTTGGTACTATTGGAAAGTACCACAACACTTTAGCCGGAACCCCTTCTCTAACCACATTAGACTGCGCATTTGTTTTCCACCGTGAAGTACCACATTTAGGGCATGCATTCAGATCCTTGTTTTCTTTTCTAAACAAGCAGCAATCATTGGCGCACGCATGTATTTTTTCGTACCCTAAATCAAATTTCTTTAATAGCTTCTTTGTTTCATAAATTCCTTTAGGAAGACTGTTATCCGATGGAATCATGACACGAATAATGTCAAGAAGCTCATCATATCCTGTGTCGGATAGGTTATGAGCAGCTTTATGCTTATATAAAGTAACTATTGCCGACATAATTGTAAAAGTCGAGCAACCAGGATATAATGGAGTTTCAGCGTATTCCAACGCCTGTTTGAACTCATCCTCTCTATTTCTACTAGTGGGCTCTGTATGAGCATTGTCTTCACCATCAAAATTATATGCATCTCTAAACATCTCATACGTCTCAGGTATTTCCACACCATCATCACCATCATTTTCTAAAGTTGCACTCTGATTCTCTCCATGTAAGACCCATACAGTGTACTCAGAATTCATTCCTTTTATCACAATGTGCTCATACACCTTATCGAAGCGTTGATATATTGAATTTTTACAACGGATACAAGGGCATAAAATGCTTTCTCGATTCCCCGCATTAAGTTTAGCCCAATTAACAAAACGTTGTGCTCCAGCTTTATACTCATCTGAAGCTCTACAGTTGAAAATTAATAAAAATATATTTTATTATCACAAAAATGACAAGAACAATGTCTATGAGTAAGGTTATTTAAAGTTATAATAACCTGTCATTAAGGTGCATCCAGCATTTATCCATTGATTATCCTGAGTAGCACCATATTAGTTGACATTAGCGTTAGCATAATTAATGTGACATTAGCATAATTAATAAACCTCTCATTTCTTGATCAATATTTTTCCAATTTCTTGGATCATTAATGTAAAAAGAAGATTATCATTCTCATTCAGATATTCTTCATTTATTAAATCTTCAAGTTCATTCACATTTTCTTCATTTTGATTCTCATTCCTATCTTCATTCATTAAATCTACATGTTCATTAAGATTTTCTTCATTCCTATGTTCTTCATTCACCAAAAGATTATCATTCTCATTCATATATTCTCCATGTTCACTCAGGCTACATATATAGATGGATAAAAAGAAGACGAAGAAAAGAAAAGAAAAGAAGTTTAATATAAGAAAATTACAAGTTATTGCAAACTTGTGCTTGTTAGAAACAACTTGTTGCTAGTGTTGTGACATAATCATAAACTATCCAGAATTGACAATGAGGCCAATTTTACTGATCAAAATTTTAATAAAGAAAAAGAGAAAAAAGAAATGAGGTCAATATTACACGCTTAAACTCTCAAAGAATATAAGAATGCACACAGAATTAATGTACTATAAAAAAATACTAAATACATCATATATATTCATATTTCCATAATTTATTCTCTCGTGGTAGATAATCAAAAGGATGCCATGACAGAGGTCACATCGTCTACGGACATCAGGAAAACAAAACAATAAATAAAAAAATAAAAATAAAACATTTTTATAATTTCATCTAAGTCTCATTGTGGTGTATTAACACTCGTGATACTTAATACTTCTATATCCATACATTTTTAAGTGATCAACATAGCTAAACTTTGACAGGTTGTGCGATGCTGTTTTAGACTCTCTGTAACTGGCATTGGGGCCACCAACTGATAATTGTTTAGATAAAGATTTAGTTGTGTCCTCCTTTCAAGTTAGATAGTATTTCAAGAAACCTTTTGCATGTTGAGCTGCAAAGAGTTTATGCGTATTATATACTATTTTGCAGATCAAGAAGCAATTTCATCGTGTCGAAATTGTTCCTATATGTAGGGTGGATGCGAGAGGTTTGGTTATTGAGGTAGGTTGCTACATCTGGTTATGATGAACGGGAATGGTATATTGTATTTGTGTCTAAAGATCAACCCCACAATGATCAGGCCCCCAAGCTGGCCAAAAAAGTATATGCAAAACTTGAAGTTGATTTCAGTTCAAAGAAGAGGGAAAGGTAAGCCTACTGCTGCCAATTATATGGCTTCTTTTGTTTTTCTTAATTATAGATTGAGTTTAATTTTTGAATAATCTAGTTCACGTATCATATATCCACTAGATACTTTTCCTTTCAGAACAATTATCTTTTTCTTTTTCCCCTGTGAAATTCAGAATAGCTACCTTCATTAAGATCTGAGTGTCATCATTTAAATTTTGTAAGAGAAAAATAGGAAATTGTAAGTGTCACTAAGTTACGTAAATGATTATTTTAAAAGGTAATCAATTTTCAAAAACTTGATTTTCATCACTTCATGGTTATTGTCCTTTCAATCATCATCATCATCATCATAATCATCTTTATCTTATTCTTCTTTTCCTTTCCGGTGTAATTACCCCTTTATATTTCTTTGCATTTCTGCTAGTTCCCTCGTTCTGCCTAGATTCCTTTCAAATTGAAATGGCTCTTTGGCCTGGATCTGAATCTCAACAGTGTTGTGTTTGAGTCATCTAAAACATTTTGGCCCACGATTGGTACAAAAAGCATCATATTTTGACTAACATGATTTCATAAGGTTAAGGTCAAGGGTGATTTTAAAAGATTTTAATAAACTGAAGAAAAATATAAAAGGAGTACTTACAAAAGCCCCTTGTTCTCCCTGATGGTCTAAATTTTATTTATTTATTTATATATATATATATATATATATATATATATATATTTTTTCAGTCAGGTGCTGCAAATTTGATATACATGGACCCGAAGCAAATTTCTGGGATGACTTGGAATCCAAAATAGTGGAATGCATCAGGAACACACTTGACAGGCGTATTCAGTTTTATGAAGATGAGATTCGCAAGCTCAGTGAACAACGCTTCATGCTCATTTGGAACTTTTGCAACTTTTTCATTCTAAAGGTAGTTGCAGTGGTAAAACTATCTTTATAGTGACTAAGAGATTGTTATGTACGGACGCTTGGTTGTAAGGAGATATCTTACTTCAGTATTGTGGTTTTTTTTTTTTTTTTTTTTTTTTTTTTTTTTTTTTTTTTTTTTTTTCAGAAATTTGTATTGTGGATTTTCACGACCCCTGCTCATGTAAACTTAGTTGAATTATATAGCACATCTGGAGAAGTTTTCAACAGAAAAGAAAGAATATGCCTCCCATTGAACATAGGTGGTGGCCGGCCAACTAACATTAACTCGTGTCCTCTCAGCCATGTGTTCATAATTACATAACATTCTTATTCAGAGTATTTTCTTTCTAGAATATTCCGAGTTATCTAGTGTTTTTTTCTCTATTTATAGTAAAGCTTGGCTTTCATGTTTGAGATGGCTCATCTTCATGAAGATTCATTACGTGAATATGACGAATTGGAACTCTGCTATTTGGAAACAGGTGCTTAATGTTTATGTTTCATCTCTTTCTGCCGTCAATGTTTATTATGGTTATTCTAATAATGTTTCCAATTCCAGTTGCTTCTGAAATATAATAGATATCATTTACCTGTCAACTATTAATGGTGTCTCTAGAAATTTGACTGGTCTTAGCCTGTTTGTCTTTTATGCATATGACTTATGGTAGTTCTCTTAAGGGGAAGAAAATCCTTAATGACTAATTATGAAGATAAGAACATGTTCATTTCTCTGTCATTTGAAAAGAAGGATAGAAGCTTTGGAAAGTAATTATGTGGGAAAAGGTTCATCTCAACAAATTAAGGACAATAACAATGTCGGGATACATTTGCTAAACAAAAAGACAGAGATAGGTGATTGGCCCAGAACTAAGAGATGCATTGTAAACTAGAATGACAAAAACCAATAAACTATGTGGTCCTAAACTATGAGGAGAAGCTGAAATGATTTGCCCTAAACTATGTGGTCTGTGTACGTGCGAGGCTATATATATTTATGTATATATATAAAAAAAAGATTAATTTTTTCTTTAAGAAACTAGCGGGAATAAAACCCGCCTTCTATATTCAATTTCTACCACGGTGCTCCACCGTGGTAGATTGAATTACTACCACGGTTTTCCATTAACCGTGGTAGAAAAAGCGGCACAAAGGGCGCGACCTTATCCCGCTAAAATTTAATGAAATAACCTCACTTTCTACCACGGTTAATGGAAAATCGTGGTGAAATAAATTAACTTTCTACCACGGTGCTTTTATAACCGTGGTAAAAAATATAATTACTACCACGGTTTTAAAATAACCGTGGTAGAATAAACTTTCTACCACGGTTTTGAAATAACCGTGGTAAAATATAAATTTTCTACCACGGTTATTTTATAACCGTGGTAAAAAGTGTTTTTTACCACGGTTATTTTAAAACCGTGGTAGAAAGGGCGTGGTAAAAAACTGTTTTTCTTGTAGTGGACGGTGACATATCAGGAACGGATTAGATCACAATGCTAAATCCTACATATTCAAACATACGGAATGGATTAACTAAAACAGTTAACTCCTACATGGATGCATGTCCTGTCAACTAAAACAGTTGAACGACATAACGGATGGTTGCTTTACTTTTCTGTATTAGGAAGGATTTAAATATATACTTATGGTGCTGTGATACGAGCTTGAGTCTCCTGATCACGGTTAGGGTACGTATATTGCATTGGATGGAGAACTAGACCTAATGACGTTCCCTGGTAGGTCTAGGTGCATGACTACGCTACGTGCGTATTGCATGTTACCTTCTACTCAGGTGTGATGATTATAGGTTAGTGGGCATCCTATAGTGTGTATCTATATCTATATGGACTACCTTAGCTATTGTTGAGCTATCTAGGATGTATCTGTGTATTGGGTTTATGTATGAATTGTAGTAGTATGGAACTTGCATCTAGGCCTGACCCACCTTATTTTTTAGGTGATCGTCAGTACCAGGCTTAGAGCTTGATCGTGGTGATGCAGATACAGTCATTCACTCTTTCGACTACATAGGATGTCTTTCTTATTTTAGTTTTTGGTTTTTGGATTCTGTAAAGTTTTATCATTTGGGATTATTAGAGGTCCACTAGTTGGATTCCCGAGTTGTACGGATTGAAAAGTTTAAATATTATTAAAGTTTATCATTAAGGGTTTTACATTTAGATTTCTGTTCTGCGTGTTATTTTATTTTAATTTTTTTTTGTACTCTTGCTTGTTTACGCATTAATTGTTTGGTATCTCTCGGATCGGTGCTCGGACTTGATCACCCGTGGCTCTAAAATCGAGGGGTATCACACTTTCCAAGTGTGAAAAGGAGGGTGAATTACGGGCGTACCAGGAACTGCTGTCGTTTCAAAATGGATATATCCGAATGATTATCTAGTAGAAGATTGCAGGGATCAAGTGACTGTACGAAGGACAGGAATTACCACATTTGGAGATTCTAGCTTTTTGCCTTGATAAAAGACTTCTGGACTACTCTATGGCTAGTGGGAAGAAGTGCAGTATTGAAAGTACAAGACTTCAAATTAAGTTGCTTGAAAGTAAGAAAGATAAGTGTTGGACTTGAAGTAAGCATATTAAAGATGCATTACATGAATGTAAAGATACATAAAATTTAATTGAAAGATAAGGTGTTGTTGGTTGTGTATGTTGAACAGGATTTGTACATTAAGCCTAAGTGCTCTATTTATAGAGTTTCTTTGCAGCAGTTGGAAATGTGGCAATTTCAGCAGCTTACACTTGGCCTTTCCTTGGCTGCCAAGTGTCCCATAATCTTTCAGCCTTCTCTCAATATTGTCAAGTGTAAAACAATATTCTCCCATGATTTACAACTGATAAATAGTGGTCTTGGCAGTTGCATACATGTTTGTAAGCCTTCTCCCACATTTTGGAACTGCCCAGATGGAAAGGCAGTAGTTTAGAACTTCCACCTGGAAAGTCCGGATCATACCACGTGTCCCATGTCTTCCTTAGTCTTCTTATAGTGTTGACACATGTAAGAACATGTTCTCTCATGATCTACAACTGATAAATAGTGGTCTTTGGCGGTTGAATGCATGTTTGTAAGCCTTTTCCCACGTTTTGGAACTGTCCAGATGGAAAGACAACAGTTCTAGCAGCAGTTGAGAACTTTCATCTGGAAGGTCCGGATCGTGCCATGTGTCCCACATTCTCATCAGCTTTCTTTGGTACATGCATCATGTTTTCAACCCACTTGTTGATTTTTAGCAACCTCCTCACCTAAATAAGGCAAGTGGTTGCCTTATTTTTGGAGTAACTCCTACAAATTAGGAGGTATTATAGGAGTGGAAAAGTTATCATTCTTAATGACTAGGTCAAAGGTACACATGACTTTCCAGATGTTTGCCACATGTCCACTTAAAAAGTCATGTCTTTCCAACTACAGGTCTTGTACCAAATGGCTTCATTTGATGAGGCTATATGTTGCTTTATGATTGCACCTTATTTGCATATCAGATTTTCAATTGGAATTTGTCACGACAACTTTTTCAACTAAAAAATATTTATGGTGTAAACAGTTTGAACTGAAATTGTAACCAAATATTAAAATGGATATATTTGAAATAGATGTTACTGAATTGATCAGTCTACATCTCATATTGATGGAGTGACCAGATTGCCAAAATAATATTGTAGGACTATAGGTGTTCTTTTATTCAGCAATGTATAGCCCGTTGAACACAAAAAGAAAATCGATCGTTCAATTGTAGCATTACTTTAGGACAATATCGATGAAGCCTATTCAACCAAATGACGTATTGATAAACTGTTTGAAGTATGTAAGAATGGTTTGTATGTGGCCGTTCTTGCCAATATGATTAAAATTGGCTAAATTAACATATTGGCAAGAACGGCCACATACAAACCATTTTTACATACTCCAAACAGTTTATCAATACGTCATTTGGTTGAATAGGCTTCATCGATATTGTCCTAAAGTAATGCTACAATTGAATGATCTGTTTTTTTTTTTTGTGTTCAACGGGCTATACATTGCTGAATAAAAGAACACCTCTAGTCCTACAATGTTATTTTGGCAATCTGGTCACTCCATCAGTGTGAGATGTAGACTGATCAATTCAGTAACATCTATTTCAAATATATCCATTTTAATATTTGGTTACAATTTTAGTTTAAACTGTTTACACCATAAATATTTTTTAGTTGAAAAAGTTGTTGTGACAAATTCCAATTGAAAATCTGATATGCAAATAAGGTGCAATCATGAAGCAACATATAGCCTCATCAAATGAAGCCATTTGGTACAAGACCTGCAGTTGGAAAGACATGACTTTTTAAGTGGACATGTGGCAAACATCTGGAAAGTCATGTGTACCTTTGACCTAGTCATTAAGAATGACTTTTCCACTTCTATAATATCTCCTAATTTGTAGGAGTCACTCCAAAAATAAGGCAACCACTTGCCTTATTTAGGTGAGGAGGTTGCTAAAAATCAACAAGTGGGTTGAAAACATGATGCATTTACCAAAGAAAGCTGATGAGAACGTGGGACACATAGCACGATCCGGACCTTCCAGATGAAAGTTCTCAACTGCTGCTAGAACTGTTGTTTTTCCATCTTGGCAGTTCCAAAACGTGGGAAAAGGCTTACAAACATGCATTCAACCGCCAAAGACCACTATTTATCAGTTTTAGATCATGGGAGAACATTTTCTTACATGTGTCAACACTATAAGAAGACTAAGGAAGACATGGGACACATGGTATGATCCGGACTTTCCAGGTGGAAGTTCTCAACTACTGGCTTTCCATCTGGGCAGTTCCAAAATGTGGGAGAAGGCTTACAAACATGTATACAACTGCCAAGACCACTATTTATCAGTTGTAAATCATGGGAAAATATTGTTTTACACTTGACAATATTGAGAGAAGGCTGAAAGATTATGGGACACTTGGCAGCCAAGGAAAGGCCAAGTGTAAGCTGTTGAAATTGCCACATTTCCAACTGCTGCAAAGAAACTCTATAAATAGAGCACTTAGGCTTAACGTACAAATCCTGTTCAACATACATAACCAACAACACCTTATCTTTCAATTAAATTTTATGTATCTTTACATTCATGTAATGCATCTTTAATATGTTTACTTTAAGTCCAATATTTATCTTTCTTACTTTCAAGCACTTTAATTTGAAGTCTTGTACTTTCAATACCGCACTTCTTCCCACTAGCCATAAAGTAGTTCAGAAGTCTTTTTTCAAGGCAAAAAGCTAGAATCTCCGAATGTGGTAATTCCAGTCCTTCGTACAGTCACTTGATCCCTGTAATCTTCTACTGGATAATTATTCGGATACATCCATTTTGAAACGACAGCAGTTCCTGGTACACCCGCAATTCACCCTCCTTTTCACACTTGGAAAGTGTGATACCCCTCGATTCTAGAGCCACGGGTGATCAAGTCCGAGCACAGATCCGAGGGATACCAAACAATTAATACGTAAACAAGCAAGAGTACAAAAGAATTTAAAATAAAATAATACGCAGAACATAAATTTAAATGTAAAACCTTTAATGATAAACTTTAATAATATTTAAACTTTTCAATCCGTACAACTCGGGAATCTAACTAGTGGACCCCTAATAATCCCAAATGATAAAACTTTACAGAATCCAAAAACCAAAAACTAAAATAAGAAAGACATCCTATGTAGTCGGAAGAGTGAATGACTGTATCTGTATCACCACGATCAAGCTCTAAGCCTGGTACTGACGATCACCTAAAAAATAAGGTGGGTTAGGCCTACATGCAAGTTCCATACTACAACAATCCATACATAAACTCAATACACAGATACATCCTAGATAGCTCAACAATAGTTAAGGTAGTTCATATAGATATAGATACACACTATAGGATGCCCACTAACCTATAGTCATCACACCTGAGTAGAAGGTAACATGCAATACGCACGTAGCGTAGTCATGCACCTAGACCTACCAGGGAACGTCATTAGGTCTAGTTCTCCATCCAATGCAATATACGCACCCTAACCATGATCAGGAGACTCAAACTCGTATCACAGCACCATAAATATATATTTAAATCCTTCCTAATACAGAAAAGTAAAGCAACCATTCGTTATGTTGTTCAACTGTTTTAGTTGACAGGACATGCATCCATGTAGGAGTTAACTGTTTTAGTTAATCCATTCCGTATGTATGAATAGGTAGGATTTAGCATTCCGATCTAATCCGTCCCTGATATGTCACTGTCCCATACCGGTACATATAATGCAAATGATCCACAAATGATGCATATTCATTGTAACATCAAGTATATCCATAAACCAACATAATAGAAATCAGATATTGCTAAGATCTTATCATGCATCCAGTATATGATTACAATTGATATATCTTCCATTTAAACTGCTAAAGCATATTAAGCAATTTAAACCATCCATATCCCTATCATTGACTGAACAGAAATTTTTAGCAGTTCATCAATTAATATCCATAGCCTGACATAATAATATTCAGAATTTTAAACTGAGCATATTACATTAATATTTCCAACCAATTCTTTCATATTGGTTCATTTAAACTACTAGAACAAACCTAACAATTAAATCCTCCTCAGTCCTTAACGGCATGCAAATTATCATTTAAATTTCATAACGTCTATTTCATCCTCAAACATAAATCTAGAGTATCACATAATGATACACAAAAAAATATAACTTGAGCACATTATATGAAATTCCATACTAGTCCATTTAGTTTACTAAAACAGAATTAGTAACTAACGCTTCTACAACTCCCGACGACAAATAAATACCAATTTATTCCAAAACAAGCATAGTTAATTTTAAGTAATTCACTATACTTATAACTTTGTTTAAATATGATTAAATAGTATCAAATCATAAATAGATTAACTTTCAGGTTCCAGTAAATGAGTTCATTAAATAAACAGTGCACAACCTACATGTTTTTTTTTCCTCAAATCCACCTTCCTCCTTTCCTTAGTCCAATTATGAATTGATGTCTTCCCATTGTTTTACAAGCCATGAGCATCATAAACATCACTTAGAATAGTTTAAACAAAGTATAAAAACTCTGTACAGTCCAAACACAGCCTAAGAACCAATAATACGCAAAACTGGGCATTTAAAACCAAAAATCCCAACTGAGTAAGCTAAGTTACAACTGAGCAGGCTAATTTCCTAACTTAGTCGACTCAGTTTCCAACTGAGTCTACTGAGTTCCTAACTTAGTCGGCTCAGTTCCCAACTGAGTCGGCTAAGTTGCCAACTTAGTTGGCTCAGTTTCCCACTGAGTCGGCTAAGTTGGTGCTGAAGCCGTCTTCTTCCTCCGTTCAGCCTTTGTAAACCCTAAAACTCCATTGTTAAGGCCTCTAAGCTTCAACCTAAGCTCCATACGTCCAAACTAAGTTATTTCAAGTGTTTTAACATGCAAGGATTAAACCTAACTTTCAATTATGCATCAAAACTTCCACAATCATTCAAAATAAAAATCTGCAACTAAAAACATATACCCTCTGTTTTAATCCAGTTAAGCATGCATGATTAATCAATTTTAGCATGTATTTAAACCCCTGGAGTCTAGCTAGGTATGCACAGAACACAAGTTTACAGGAAAAAGATAAAATGAAACTTGCCTTTAGGTTTCGGTTTTGAAACCTAAACCACCGTCTCTAAGTTTCGGCAAAGCCCATGACAGTTCTCCTCCTTTGTTCACTGCCCTCCTCCTCTGTTGTCTCTTGGCTCAACCCACAAGCAACTCCCTTAATTAAACTCTCAAGACCCTCTCTGTTTATTTCTTAAAACTATTCCAGAGCCTCTGTTTTTCCCTCTCCAGACTATTGCCTGAGTAGGGTTTTTCAACCCTAGCAGACTATTAGAAAATATATATAGGCATCTCAATCTTAAGCCTGATATAACCGGATATTTATAGGCTTTAATTAAACCCTAATATAAGTCGGTGACCTACTTATGCAAAACTATAAAACCTTACGACACAAACAAATTATAAAAGTTACCAAATATAATCTACCAAAGACACGTCAATTAAAACATAATGAATCAAATATTTAAATTAAATAAAAACAATTAAACAAGTAATTTAAAATAAATAAACAATTACAACTAAACACATAGCCAGATAATCACATTTAAATGCAAATAAAACAAATAATCAATTAAGTAATTAAAATGCACCAAAAACAATTAATTAAATCCCAATTATATCCTTTTAGAAATTAGGGGTATCACAGAAAGGGCCACGGTTTTTAGGAGCCGAACAAAAACCTGAGCCACACAAGTCTTCTCAATGAGTGTTACTCTCGCGTTCTAAGCGCACTTTCACTCTCACGTTTCACACGCGCTGTCGCTCCCATTATCACTATTTGTGACTTAATTTTGTCGATTTCACGCTCCCTTTCACTCCCGCTTTATGTGACTTAGGTTGAAACTAACCACTAAATTAAGAACCAAATGGGCATCTTTAGGGAATGAATGTGTTTCCCTCACTTTTGTTTAGTTGGATAGAATGAATAATAGAAATGATGAATGGAATGTCACATTTTTTTTTTGTTTGGTTGGAAGGACTAAATTAAGAACCAAATGGGCATCCTTGGGGAAGGAAGGTGTTTGACAAAGGTCTACGTTGAGGTTGAGGTTGAGTCCATTGGGTCGGGACATATAAAATAACTTATGGATTTTTATTAAATTTTAATATATATATATTTTTTTTGTAAATATTTTTCGATAACCAAACACCGAAAAATAAAGCAAAGCCTTTATTACCTAATAGTGTAACGGAGAAGGCTAGACGAAGTATTCTTATCCCTTAGGTAAGATTAAAGTTCTGGTCATTGTATAATATAATCAATAATTTCCTTTTATATCAATACATTTGCTAGAAATTTCTGAAAAAAGAAGAAGAAGAAAGCATATTAAACAGTCTTGAACAATAGATTTATCGCAGTCACATTCTCTGCTGTCTATCCATTCCCATTGTGCAATTGAGGACAAAAGGAGTTACTGCTGTCATTGAAATATGCATCAGGTTAAGCAGTACGTGTGTCTAACAAAACTTTCACCAATAAGAAAAAAAAATTCGCCAAAGGAATCAAAGAGTTACCTGAATTGGTGTAGGTTGGACTGCAGGTAGAGATTTGGGTTCCACCATTGGTGGAGTCCATGGTCTTGTTTAAAACCCTCAGAAGGGCTCGGATTTACAGTCAGATTTGCTGAAGGAAGAAGATGTGGTGGTGGTTCTGAATCATTCCCACTTGAGAATAGACTCCCTATTGAATTCCTTACTGAATTCTGTGTTGCAAGTCTTCCAATAACTCCGACACCAAGATTCAACATCTTCTTCCTCTGTTTGAAATAGCCAATATACTCTGAGCAGATAGGATCAGAAGAATTCGCAAACAGGTAAGGGACCCATTCAGATAATGCAACAAAAGTGTCATTTTCTTGATGCCTTTGTTGACGACGCTTGAGAGCAAAAGCAACTCCTGCCGCGAAGACACTGCTTGCAAAACGTATCCCATGCTTCAACGGTTTAATCTTCAACTGCTCTATTGGAGCAGAAATGAATGGTGAATTGAAAAGGTATGTTTCAATAGGACAACCCATCTTAAACATGTTCTTTCCAGCGAGCAGTGCCATGGCTGACCCCAAAGAATGTCCAGCTAACCAGATGTTTGCAGCTCCAGTTACAGAAACCCTATATTGAACTTCTTGCGTTGCAAGCTGAAAGCGGGGGCTCTGTTGTAGTTTGTTGCACATGAACTGGAGATTCGACTTGAGATCCTGAAACAAGGTGTCTGGTTCCTTGATTGTGCCTCGAAAGGCAATAACATATCGTGGGGGGTTTGGGGCCAAACCGTAACAGTAGGGAGCTGGGAATTTGAACTCATAAATTGCGCCAAAGATAAGGTCAGCATTATCTACTAGCTCACGGACTAACTGAAAATGAAAAAAGTCCCACCAGGGAGGAGCAAGAGCTTGAGGCCCTTGGCGGTTCTGCTGGCGATCACGTTCCAGAATGTACACTCCCTGAACCAAGCTAGCAGCAACAGATCGTCGGTGATTTGGGTCATTCCTGCAAAAGAAAATAACAGAAAAATGCCTTCTCAAATCACTTGATCTATAAAAGAATAGCTCTAACACAAACAAGAACACCTTATTTATGTGGTTCACCCAAACTAGCTACGTCCACAAAATCATTCCAATTTCTCTATTCTATCGGAAAAAATAAAACTCCCACACAAACAAATACACTTTTAAGCTTTTGCCCTTTTTGTTAATAAATCAAACCCAATGGTGTACAGAAAACCAGACTAGAACATCAACAACACACAGTCCCAACTCCCAATCCAAATCAATAGGAGAACTTCACGTACACAGTGGGACTTAAAATTGTCCAATCAAACTTTGAAAGTCAAACCATTCGAGATTAAGCAAACAAACTATAGCTGAAAAAGGGTCTTACCAGTTAACAACAGTCAGATGCTCTGGTCCTGAATGGCTGAAAATTTCCCTCGGAGATGCCATGAGTGAATTCCTTTTTGGCCTTCCACCTGAGGTCCTCGATGAGAACTCTGTACATGGTAGATTTGAAAGCCAATAAGCGAATTGTGTATTCTCCAGAAACATAAATGAAAATGATGTCACACATGCTTTGATAATTATTATGATCCAAAAAGTTGATGCATAAAACGTTTTAATGAAAAAAAAAAGTTGGATTCTTTTCAATATGTCCTCTCCTATTTTCATGTCTGGGAGACCTACTTGAAAGTCGAATGCAAGAGTGCCAATGGTTAAGTACTGACTAATCTAAGCAACTACATATATATATTTTCATTTTTACACGAAGGGTTAATTTGGAACCAAGCATCGCCATGTCAAACTAAACAATGAGGAAATTAAGTACCAGTGTTGTCTATTGCTAGATTATAATCATCCACATGTTTTTCTCAGTACATGCAGTTAAATCATATGGGAATATATGCATACACTGTGATACATAAATGGAATTTCTAAAGTATCCAGCTATCTAAACCTATTAAACATAAAAGAAGCTTTAGGCAATTGATCAATGAATCAATTACATCCTCAAATCAACTAATCAACCTTACTCCAACCAAATGCCCAAGCTATATGAATCTTGTTCATCCCTTCTGCTGTTGTATTAAATCATAGGACATCAAATCTTTTTACACAATCAATGTCTTTTAGTTTTAATTACAGTCTGTTTACACTATCAATGTCTTTTAGTTATAATTACAGTCTCAAACTTTCACCAATAGCCGGTCACTGGTCTTTTCTGCACTTAAAGAATGCATAATTCGTCAACCCCCATGCCCATTTTTCTATGTTTAGGACCGATACGGCACAGTCCTAAACATAGAAAAATCCTTTTGCCAGGGTATGCTTAAGTCACAAAATATAGAAAGATTGAAAAGCAACAAATCCATACAATAAATTTAATCATAAAACCATACATCTTAATTTAGACTATAAGAACACAAATTGCATGCAGTTATCATCGGTAGAAGCAATTGGGCATTAGTTAAATGATATAAAAAAACGAAAATCAGAATCTAAATTTATATACATGGAATAGTTCATACTACAACAAAACGCAATTCCAGTTCATAAGAATGTTATATATAAATAAATATCGCAATAAATTAGGTACCGAATCAGAACTTACATTTGAAAGCGTTAATTGATGGTTGTTTGGGATGGGTGCCTTGACTCTTTCTGGTCTTCCATCTTTTACATCTTTTACATGTCATCCTAATTTAAAAGAAAACAAATGACAATTTCTTGGAGTTTTGAATATTTAATTATTTTGTGGAAATTAATACATAGCCTACAAGAAATTGCCATGTCTCTTTGTCCTAGAGAAAAATGAAACAAATTAGCCCCCGACGATCACATTGACATTGGTCATGTAATGTTGTTGCAATAGTCAAATTGGTCTTTTGCAAGGATGAGACTTTTGGGACATGTGGGTATTTATTATAAAAGGTACCGTTAACGTTATAATCCCAGGCCACTTAGCCGCGTGACACTGTATCACGACTCACTAAATAAAATTATTAGGTAGTCGGTCAGCATTTCCCTTTTCCGAATCATTTATGTTGGGAGTTTTTCATAAATACCCCCAACAACCTAGTTCCAATAATGCCTTGGAATATAATACTATCCCGAGATACATGCTACACACCAACCTTGCAAATTTTGTACTTATTCTCAAAAACTGTTGTGTTTGTAGTATCCTTCAAATTAAAATATATATTTGAAATTTTAAATTAATTTTTTTTTATTTTAATTTTATGGCAGCGATTCAATACCTTACAACGTAATATTAGAGTTCACCACTTTCTGAATTTTGACTTTATGAACTCTTTGCCAGTGTTTGTTACGTAAAAATAATAGATGATGTAATTTTGGAACTTCTTGACAGTACAAGATAATTTAGTGCAATTTGATTTAAATATTTAAATAGAAGGTTATCTTAATGACTTCAGCTCCTCAGCCATTTAAATTTTAAATAAAACAATAAAAATTTTAAATTTTAAATATAGCAAGGAGAAAAGATAGAAATGGAGATTACCAGGCTACTCTGACCATGGCTCCCTACTTATGTTGATGGAAGATACCATCAAGCTAAGCTATTTTTGATTGACCATCTTGCTTTCCCCTGTTTCGCCTTGCTCTATTGATTTTGTATATAGTGGGTGTAGCCCCACTCCTTTGTGTACATGATTTTTTTCTTCTTTAATATATTATCATTTACCAAAAACAAGACAAAAAATATGTAGAACAAAAAGGGAAAAAAATGAAAAAAGAAGAAAAACTAGACAGTGATTTTAAAAGTAAAATTACAAAATATTTTTAAATCGCATAAATCGAAAACAATGGAGATAAGGTTGCACATTTGAATCTCCTCAGACTTTGCAATGACAAAAGCTTTGTGCACACACTAACTCTTTTTTACTTTTGGAAAAGCAAATGCTCTTAAAGAAGGTCCCAACATGCTTTTAGTCATTCATAGATGAAATTTTACTTCGCCAACGCAGGTTCAAAGGTAAAATAAAAGCAAAGATTATGCTAGGACAAGTGCTCATCTCCCCCTTGTGCTAGAGGTGATGGAAATTCAACATCCTACCTATAATGTAATTTCCATTTCCATCAAGGCGTATGCTTGAAATTTTGGAAAAAAAATTAATTAATATATATATTTTTTTACCTATAACGAAAAATAAAGTTACAGATAAACAAAATGTTTAAGATGGAAAGAGAAGAAGTAAGCATTGTTGTTAACTGCACTTTTTCTTCCCCTTCTCTCACTACAATCACCACCACCCATTCACACAAACATACCAACCCAAATTCTGTGCAGCTAAAATTAAACAGTCTTGAACATTATATTCACAATTTTACTATGGCATTCACATTCTCTGCCATCTATCCATTCCCATTATGCAGTTGAGGACAAAATGAGTTGCGAGCATGCGATGGCTGAACCCAAAGAATGTCCAGCTAACCAACTGTATGCAGCCATGCTTTGTCGAATTATCTATATATATATAATATATTTAATATTTTTAAAACATTGTTACTTTGTTGAAATGTCGGTTAATACATTAATAATATTCACTATTTAGTAATTTAAAAGTTGAACCATCCTATTTATTGGATTTTTTTTTTTTTTTAAATAATAAAAGTGGTATAACCTTCCCCGCACAGGGCTGGCCCAAGGCGATCGTCTTGGGCCTTAACATTTAGAAGGCCCAAAAAAAAAAAAAAAAAAAAACTTAACCTCTTTTACCATGAGTGATAGGCCTAAATAAAAAGAAAAAAACCTTAGGCCCATTTCCATGAGTGATAGGCCCAAATAAAATAAATAAATAAATAAAACTTAGAGCCTTCGATTAAACGAATTCACAATCCATTCAAAATTAGGGTCTTTAAAAACCTGGTGATTAAATTCGAAATTGAATATGTCCCTTTACTACTATATGTGTATGTTAGTGTGTATTTCAGTAATTAAAGGGTCTCATATTTAAGTTCGCTTGAGATCACTCAAAATTTTGTCAATCTCAAAGCCGGCCTTGCCCCCGCCTCCACCCTCATCCCTCAATTAAATGGAATATGCGGGCTGGAGTTGGCACTTTGTCTGTCAACATAGAGGCAGGAATGATATATAAATTATAACCCATTTCAGAGTAAGGACGGAATTGTTATGACAAATTTTATAAATAGGAGAATAGGATTTAGGCAAATTCACCCAAATTTTGTTCGCCATCCTTTGCCCGTAACGGTCTCATATTAATTGGACCATCTTATTTAGTCGGCATAGACCTAGACATCTTCCTGATAAGTACTTAACATCAACAAATAAAATTTAAAATCTTACTCTAATATCAACTATAACGTATTAAACTTTGCCTTCTAACTCAAAAACTTAAAACTACTCCTACCTCTCATATGTATTGAAGACCTCCATCCGGTTTCTTGCGAACAACGACCTCTCAAAATTGTGTGGCTCTCTATCTCTTCTCACTGCTGTCGTGACAAATATTTTTGTCCTCCAAGAAGATGAAATGACAAATTAGCCCCGGGATCATTGGACCGCATGGGCGGCCGCCCTTTCAATGCCCGTGTAATGTTGCGGCCCATAGCCAAATTGGACGTATGATATGTGGCCCGTGTGGGTTCTTACCGGTACTAAGTATTTTTATTTTAAAATTTATTTTTTATTTCTAAATTTTTCACTTGTAAACGGAAACTATCTTGTGATATCTATGTCATGTACATTATTATTCGTAAATTTGTCAGAAAAAAAAAAAAAATTTCATTCTATTTGTTTTTTTACCAATTTTTAAAAATTTCATAATTTATTTTTTATTTATATTTTAAAATTTTCACTCATAAATAGGCGTTATGATTCATAGTTTTCTTAGTATTTTTGACTTGTCATGTATCCTTTTAATTTAGAGTAATGATAGGGGTACCGAAAAAAAATTCTCGAATTAACACATAATTTGACACAGTTGGCAATACTTATCACGTGTTAAACAATTATTTTATTTTATTTTTTCCTTCTTCTTTATTTAGTTTTGTTTGTTGAATAAATCTTTCCTTCATGAGATTTTTTATTTTTTATTTGGTAATAGTAATGACATCGTCACATTGATTTAAAATATAAGTATATAAATATATATATATATATAGAGAGAGAGAGAGAGAGAGAGAGCATACAAGGCAAAATAAATGTTTTATTATATGTTTTTCTTCTTAAGTTCAAAAAACTATTTTTAAACAACTAAATAGTTTTTTTATTTTTTTGTTCTTTGAAAACTGTTTTGAAAATTTTCCTACCAAGCAGATTTTTAAACTCAAAAAACTGTTTTCAATTTTTTGTTCTCTTTGTCTAAAAACCGTTTTTGCAAATTGTTCTTAAATTACATTCCAAGCAAGGCCTTAGTTACTTTGGAATAGCAAATGCCCCCAAAAAAAGCTCCATGTATGCTCTTAGTCATCCATAGATGAAATTTTACATGGCCAATTAGGTTCACAGGTAAAATAAAAAGAGACATTATGTTGACCCTTAAACTGGCACGCTTTGCTGATTCAGAAATTGACTAGGTACAGGTGATCCAAAATTGGTCGGAGTTATAGAGATCTGATCAAACCGAGTATCTTTAATGGGTTCAAATGCCTCAAATAGAAAAGACTTTAAAAGGTAATGAATTGCAACAACAACAAACTAGAATTGAACTGAAAATGGAAACTGGAATGCATCTATAGTAGTAGTAACAGATTGGAAAACAAAGTTGCAAATAAATTGCAATTAACAAGGAACAACTAATAAATGAAATTTAACTAAAAATAATTAACTAAAGAAAGTTGTATTATATTATATTAGGAAATTAATATTAAACAAAACAGGGCAGCATGATTTAGAAAGAATTTCATATACCTAGTTGATTGTGAGGTGCGGGACCCTTTACAAAGAATGTTTCTACCATTATTTGTATTAAAACAAAATAACAAACTTCTACTATCCATCAAACTGGATTACCATGCAATTTCCGAACCTGGATAACCCACCAACCACCACTTCCAAATAGTCCTTTACCACTTCAATCTTGATCTTAATCGTAATCTTCTAATTATCACGTCATATATCACAAACAGGTAGATTCCATGGTACGTCTTGTTTAAAATTAAAGTATTAAACCGGCCAACAACATCAACATCTTGCGATAAGAAATCAAATAGCTAGTTGAACTTGAATATGTGTAGCTCGGAATGCGAGCGCAGAAATGGGTTCCACCATTGGCGGATTCCATGGGCTTGTATAAAATTCTCGGAAGGGCTCAGATTTTGAGTCAGAAATGCTGACGGAAGAAGTAGTTCTGATTCCCTCCCACTTATTGAATTCTGTGTTGCAAGTATTCCCATACGTTCAGCACCAAACTTCACCATGTTCCTCCTGTTTTGAAAATACCCAATATACTCTGAGCAGATAGGATCAGAACGATTCACAAACAGGTTGGGGACCCATTTAGATAATTCAACAAAATTTTCATAATCTTGACGCCTTTGTTGAGGATCTTTCAGAGTAACAGCAACTACGGCCGTGACGACACCTTTTGCAAAGCGTAACACATTCTTGGCCTTATCATTCTCGAACAGCTGCTCTATTGGAAGAGAAATGAATGGTGAATTAAAAAGGTAAGTTTCAATATCATAGCCCATCTTAAACATGTTCTTTCCAACGAGCAGCGCCATGGCTGACCCCAAAGAATGTCCAGCTAACCAGATATTGTTTGCATCTCCAGCCATATCAACCATGTTTAGAACTACGTCCATTGCAATCTGAAAGCGGGAGTTCTCTTGAAGTTTGTTGCGAAAGATGTCGAAATTGGACTTGAGATCCTCACGCCGAGTGCATGGTTTGATGATTGTGCCTCGAAATGCAATAACATATTTTGGGGCCACACCCAAAAAGTGGGAAGCTGAGGGTTTGATCTCATAAATTGCACCAAAGATGGAGTCAACATCTACTAGCCGACGGATCAACTGAAAACCAAAAGACTCCCACCAGGGAGGAGTACCTTGGCGATTCTGCTGGCCATCATTTTCCTGAATGTACACTCCCTCAACCAACCAAGCAGCAACACACCGTCGGTAATCTCGGTCGTTCCTGCAAACGAATATAAAACTATCTGGAACATAGAGTAAAGATAAAACCATTAAAAAATAATAACTCAACCCAACCAGGAACACCACGGTAATATAAAACTATCTGAACATAGAGTACTTCAACAATATGAAAGATAAAACCATTAAAAAATAATAACTCAACCCAACCAAGAACACCACGGTAATATTTTAGGAGGAAAATAAATAAATTCATAACTTAACCAAGTTTGTATAACAAAACTTGTCAACGTACAAGTAATGACAAAAAGTGAATGGTGAGGGTTTTATTATCAAAGGAGTAAAGTGGATGTGTGAGTAGTGTTTAGAATTTTCTTGAAAAAAAAAAAAAAAGACAAAAAAGTAGAGTAATAATGGAACTAATTTCTATACAGAATATAGACTATATAGACTTATATATGTTTAATAAGATTTTAATTTACTAATTATTTATTAAGAGAATTTTATCCACATAAAAGATAGATTTGACCATAATGTAATACCTTGAAAGTAGAGCTCTCTTTCACTTTCCTTTCTCCAGTGGACAACCTACAGAGTGAGATTGGAATTGCTCACTTTCCTAGATCTCTGGATTATGAGACCTTGCTTGTTGCTCACCTTCAAGATTTTTATTTTTATTTTTAAATATGAAACACTATAAATAATAGAGAAAATCCATGAAGATAAAAATTAACTTAACTTATTTTAACTTATGTATAATACTAGTATTTATTTATGTTGACTCAGTCCATAATATTGTTCTCCATGAATAATGAAAACACTCCATAAAATATCATCTGTCAATAATATTTTTCTTTTTGTAAATCAATTAGAAAGGATATGTCGGGTATTTGTAAGGATAATTTTGTCAAAAAATAATAATTAATATGTCATGTGTAATGCACATGACTAGTTTAAAGGAAAAAATGAAATATCTATCACCCAAATGGAGTAAGTTGCAACCCTTTATAAATAAAAATTATTTGTTGTCAAAAAATGAGAGAGGAGTATTGTACAACTTTTTAAAATTGGAGGAAGGTTTAGTTCATTGAGGCCTTATATTTATTTTATTTCTTTCCATTATTATTTCATAGACCATCTACCATACTATGTATGTGAGACACACTTTGAGGTGAGAATGGTGTTAGTCTCTGAGAAAAATAGAGCTATACGATTTTAGCACCCTGCTTGCATATCTCTCATTATCCATGCCATTTTTTTTATAGTTAATATTATGTTGTTGAATTATTTGTTTTGTTAAAATTTTAAATTAATTGTTATATCCATATTATTCAAATTGATGTTGTATTCATGTTAATAAAAGTATTGTAAAAGAAAAAAAATTGTAAATTATTTTGGAGATTTGATAGATGGAAAAAGAAACGTAATAAAAAATTTTGTTTCCTATACTTGCCTATTTTCAATATTTTCTCATAAAATGAGTGTCTTTTTAAGCAAAATAACTCTTTCTTTGTTTTTCCACAAGTTCATATATAATTGGCAATAACAACATACAATCAAATCTCTCTCAAAAATTAGTCCTGCCATTAGTTTCTTCATCTCCATTATTATTATTATTATTATTTTTTAAGTTTCGTTTCTCTTAGAAGCTAATAAAGAAAATATTTTGAAGTCTTATTTTAAATATAAATAATTATATTATTAAATTTAATAATTCATCATTTTACTATTTCTTTGCTAAAAATAGACATCATCAAATACAAATTCATTTATTTTTTAGTATTTGAAATCATAAAGGTAATTTTGGTATGTTCAATCACTTTCTTTTAACTTTCATGCTATCCAACATAACAAATTAATATTTTCCTATAATTTTCTTGAATGAATTTTCATACTAACCAAATGCAGGCTACAAAATAACTTTTCTTTTCATCCATACTTTTCTTTTATTTTTCATTTCATTTATTTTCTTGCTTATTTTCATCTAACCAAACGTAGCCTAAGAGGGATATTACTAAATTTGAAAAGAAACTTTTTGTATCATAGATTCATGCTGTTTTGGCTAGAAAATTTAATTAAGGAAATTAATTTGTGTATTCATGACTTGATCATAGCAATTGCAGTAAGTAGCATTAAGTGTAAAAAAAAAAAAAAATGTAAAAATAAAAATAAAAATGAATAACCGATTGAATTGAATATTATTATTTAAAGAGAAATTGGTACAATCATACAACGTCTATATTATGAGTAAATGATAATATTAATTATATAAATTATATAACAGTCCACTAAATGTGTGAAATATTTGTAATGGAAATTATACTCAATTGTATTTCAAACTCAGTTTTACATCGGCAATTAGGTGTGGCTGAATAAGAGACGAGAGAAAAAGAATTGGGTCTAGAGAAAATTTTGGGAACTGAAGGAATTTGGAGATGGTGACAGAGGAACTAAAGATTATTCAATCGAGATAAATAGTCACTGGTGCATACATTCAAAAGTTTATGGTCCCTAATTTTTTTTTTTATAAGTGTTTATGGTCTCTATTATTATAATAATTATTTTTTTTTATCTTTGGTGATTAAAGTTAGAAAAAAATAGAAGAAAAAGAGATGAGAGCTAATCTTTTGTAATTGTACCTTTACCATGACATGTGCTCTTGCATGGTAGCACACTAGAATAAAATTTCAAATTTTATTTTGTGGAGGGAGATCGCACGGGATTTGTCCCGGGATCTCTCATCCGATATGATGTGCGTGTTTGTGTGCATGCGTGCTTGTGATATTTTCCATCTTCGCGCTCCTATATCATGCATGTCATTTCCAACGTTGCAATGTTGCAACTAACATGATGAAAAGGCAATTACATCCGGAAGTAATGTGACAAACAAGAATGAAAATTTGTCTAATTAACTCCAAAATTTTCCAATGATGAATTGTTTTGTCCGGAAAAAAGGTGATGGAAAACATTGAGGACATGAAAAATAAATAAAAAGATGTGGTGGGGAGCAAAAAGAAAAGTGAAGGAAAAAATTTGGAGGAAAAAAAAATTATTGAAAGAGTAGAAATGAAAATGAGAAGAAATAAAGAAAAACCCTTGGGTTGTGAAAAAAAAAAAAAAAAAACACAACAACAACAACAACAACAGTGTCTTCAAATTCTAGAAGCCGAGTCCTAGAAACATTGAGGGGGACGGGTTAAGCTCTAAGGGAGTCACCTATGGAAGTAACCCGTCCTTTGTGATTGGAGATCCCATTAAGGCGGTTGAACGAGTAAAAACAATCCGCGCTGCATGAACTCATAAATAACACTTTTTTATGTTTAGGGGGGTTTCTCATGAAGATTTTTTCCTACACGTACATCCCTAAGTCATAGTGCTTGTAACGACCCAAACCCGGCGGCCCGGATTGCTAATCGGGTCCTTACCCGAACCCAAGGTTACACAATGGTACTATGGTCATTTCATGTCATTACAATAATTCTAGAGTCTATAGGGATAAATTGGTCATTACCTATGGTCAAATAATGGTTTAAGGTCTAACAAGGGTCAACCAGTCATTTAGTACATTTATTATAGCTTCACAACTCATTAGGGGTATAAAGGTCATTTTACTTTTTCAAATAATAATAAAAAACCCAAAAAGGATAAAATAGACTTTTACCATGGCCAAATAGTCATATGAAACCCTCAGGGGCAAAATAGTCATTTTTGGTCAAATTACAACATTCATACCCTTCGGGGGTAATTCTGTTATTTTTTAGGGTCATTCTATACTTTAGTTAGGGTCTGGGGGTCATTGGGTAATTATATTAAAATATAGAGTCCTTGTGAAAACATAAGTTCATCTAACTAGTTAGAAAATTTCTTCTAATCGGGTAGATGAATGGTCCAGTAAGCTTACTAGATTTCATATCACATCTAACCGGTTAGAAGATTTCTTCTAACCAGGTAGATGAATGGCCAGTGTAACAACCCACTTCACCACACGGTATGATATTGTCCGCTTTGGACCTGAATCCGCAAGGTTTTGCTCTTGAGCTTTACCCCAAAAGGTCTCATACCAATTAGAGTGACACACCTACATATAAAGACTTCACCTTTCCCTTTCCCTTTCCTTTTTCCAAGCGATGTGGAATTGTGCACCCGTAGTTCGCCAGTGTGGTAACCTGTCAGTGTCTTGCACCCGCTCACGGCATAGCCGCCCACAGGGTCATCACAATGAATAATTAATATTAATCATCTTAGATGATATATATATACATACACATATATTATATAATATATAAATATGTATAATACCATCCATAATAATTTTTGATTATTTAAATCATATATATACATATATATCAATATATATATATATATATACACACACACAGATCCCTAAATCTTTTCTAGCAGCTACATGGTTTTCCATACGTCTGCGCTGCACCAAATCAAGTTTACTTTGATCAAGCCACATCTATGGCTTAGATATGTGGCACGCCAAATCTCCATGGAACCGCCTACACTAGATCAATCTACTTTCATTAAAATTATCTAATGGTGTAGATCAATGAGTGCACCACCTTCCCTTGCACACAATCACACAGGATAACACCCCCTTTTGACCCCGTGTATACAATATAAACAATATATATATATATATATATATATATATATATATATATATATATATAAAGTAATTTTCCAGTAAATATAGGAACATAAAACTAATAAATTCCTTAAAATATAAAAAAAAAAAACCAGAAAAATTCTAGAAAATTACAAAAAATTCCCAGAAATTTTATAAACCCAAAATAACCCTCTTGGGTCATAGATTAACCTATAACTTGATTTTAAAATATATATAACACTTATATATACAAATAAATCCGATAATCTATAAATCAAATATAATAATTTATGCTTTTAATTATTCTGAACTAACCATGATTTTAAGCAAATAAAATTAATCCAAACATTGATACTTAAAGTGAAATACTTATGAGTTCTAAGAGGAACGTTAGAGAAGAACTCGCCTGAAAGTTTCGAAACGAAACCAGCGCTTACTATTCCGATTAAATCCCGATTTAATCAAATAACATTAACTT